GATTATTTCCACCATGATAAGTTTCCTAATTTACCTGTTTCATTAGTATCTGGACTACATAATTACAGTAGCCGTAGTGCATCATCCAACCAAGTTGCAATACCTTAATTTCGAACTAATCTTAGGAGATTTTGCCCAAGTATTATTGGAAGTTTCTTTTGGAAAAATATTCCGCTATCCATTAGAGACCATCTAAGAAAATGTTTAGAAAAGCACTTTTACGCTGGTACCTTGCTCAATACTAATGAAAACATTATCTCATAAAGAGATAATAATAGATATTTTGTCATTTTTCCTCTTCTTTTTTCTTTTTCTTTGTATTAATAATCTCAAGTTATACATAACTTTAAGGGGCACAAAATTAGTTTATGTAGATGTGCACCTCTCCTATCCTTCCAATGTACAATGTAATTCAATTTAAGTGATGTAATTTCTGTTTTATGCGTTTTTTTTTCTTCCTTACAGTGCACTATCGGTTACTATTTACTTTCTTTACGTTATATTTAGATATCTATGTATTAGCTAGGAATTGGAGGAATAAATAAATAAATAAAAATAAAATAAATAAGATCTTTTTCGCATTCGCAGTTGAAAAATACAGACGTCAATATATAGGCAAAATCGGTGACCCTCATCGGTGACCGAGTGCACAAGAAGGACTATGTAGTTTCCTGAACTTTTTCTCAAAATAAACCTGTACGTACGAGCGTCCTTCCTCAAAATTTCAGCAGTAAAATATTAGCTCTGGTTAGTATTATTCCTGCAAAACAATGTTAACACACGGTCTTGCAAGTAGCTACAAATACCCAGTCTTTCAATAGTTCATTTTGGCTATTTATGGACGTACGGACCATTATATTTTCAGAGGAGGGGGGAGGGGGAGGAGCTGGGGCAATTTTCTTGGACCTGAAACCTTTTTTTCGCCTTAAGGTGGCGCAAGAATTTTTTTTTTTGCATCAAAAATTAAAATAATGATGGTAGAAAGTATTTGCTCGATTTTTTACCCCGTGGCTCCTTTTGCACGATTTTTTTTCGGCAGTTTTTACTCTACAGGAATTTTTTTTTTGGTAATTGCCGAACCCTCCCAACCCCGTCAAAAAAATAATGGTCCGTCCCTTAGCCCTTAGCATGTTTCGCGGAGATTGCAGTTACAGGTTCTACCTTTCTCTTTCCGTTTCCTTGACTCGCTTTTAACTGCACAGGCAATTAAAATTCTCGAGGAAAAAAATGAAAACAAAAACAAAAACAAACAAACAAACAAAAAACAGAGTTTCAACGCTTTCCACTTTCACTATCTTCTGTCTTTTCATTGTTTCGCCAAGCGCCAATCAAATGGCCTCTTCCAGGCGTTCAGTTAGTT